TAGCATTTCTCTAACTTACTTGACAACTGAATCCTTTCTTCATGCAATAGCTCAAGGGACAAGTTTTCCTTGGTGCATACATGGGAAATGCTTATTTATGCATAAGTCATACATATCTAATCAACTCCTTTATTTCCTTTTTGAAAATTTTAGTACGTATATTACTTGCAGCTTATGAATCATAGTTGATCACACACACGCACACACACACACACACACACACACACACACACACACAGCTAATTTTGTTAGATGTTCTAACATCTAATGTCTAACATCTAATGGCCAAAACATAAATGTAGCATTTATTAGTCTTCCAACTTGTTAAATACTGAGTGGAGTCTTGACCTTCTCGTTGATGAAGAAACATTGAGTGAAATCACAGGAACACTTAATAACGTTATTTCCCAACTCCTCTCCGTTCTTCACCTGTTGGGTTACAGAATTTAGAGACAGGAAGGACAGCCAGTTCCTACTACATATTTGGCAAACGTTCTTTGTTTTCCTTATCTATGAGGAAGGAAGCTGGGAGAAGACAAATAAATCTGGAATGGAAGTTTTGTAATAAAAAGACAAGACTAATATTGTTGCAGTTCTTTAAAAATATTCTCTAGGATATACTAAAACATTTGAGGTGCAAGGCTCATCTCTGAAGAATTAGAGTGTGTAGTCTGTAAAAGAGCTCATAGTACAGTACATTTATATATATATATATATATATATATCTCACATATTGTCAAAAAGTTCCATAAAAGTTTAAAGGAGGGAAAGGGCAATGTGGGTTTGAGGGGCCAGTGGAAGTGTCCCATGAGCCGGTCCTTGAAGCATAGGTAGGTATCAGGTTGAGAGTGGGATGGTAGGAATTCCATGCAGGAAAGACAAGGCCAGAGAAAGAGCTACGGCACTTTTAGGAACCGTGAGCAGATAAGACTGTACAGGTAGGGAGGAAAATGGGACACTGAGGCTGGATTCGTTCATGGTGGTTACTGAATACCAAGTAAGAAAATATGGCCTTAATTGTGTAGGTAGCTAAGAGTCTTTGAAGGATTCTGAGCATGAATCTGCCATATTCAGGGAATTTGATCTTATGAGGCCATGGGGAGAAGGTGAGACAAGAGTACTCTGCAGGATCCTGGGCTGAGGTGATGAGAGTCCAGGCTAAGGGGTGAACAGTAAGAATAGAAAGAAATTATGATATTTGGAGAAAATAATCAATAGAACTTTTTAACCTTTTGAATGAGAGAGAGGAAAAGTGGAAAGGAATGGCTTTGACCTTAGGTCAATAACAGAATGATTATCCCAATAGCAAACTGTTCACACATATTGATTTAAGGTGGCAGTGGTACATTTAAGTAGAAATGCCCAACTGATTAATTAGTAATTTAGGGCTAGAACATGGGAAGGAAAGACAAATAAAGTACACTAAGGCATCGCTGTATTCTCAGCTACGTGCTAGATCCTTTACCTGTATGCTCAATTTAGGAGAGAAATAGGAATGTACTTTGCAATTTGGCACCATCTGCCAAATTGCCCATCAAATCAGGAGAATGGTAACATTCAATGAAGACTAATTCATCACAATTTCCCTATGTCCCTTCACTATGAAAACAGTCATCACACAAAAACAAATGCCTATAAAAACACTATCATATCATATCATATCATATCATATCACAAGATCACTGAAAATCCTGATTTCCACAAGTCAATACTACATTCTAGGAAGTAATTGAGATAGGAGGGAAAAAACAGAACTGTAATTGTTCTTTCTTTCCTTCTTTCCCTTGAGAAAGATGAAAGGACACAAAACAGGAGGCAGGAAGGAACCAGAGGAGAAAGTATCTGGGAGAGTTCCCACTTGCTGAGGTAAACAGGAATGAAAGCAAACTCTTTCCTTATACAATAATAAACATCTGAGCACTGTCTCCTAGTTTCCTAGAATTCATTATCCATTTATGAATAGACTAGAGGCCTGGTGCATGAAAATTCATGCACTGTACGGAGCGTCCCTCAGCCCGGCCTGCTCCCTTCTCACAGTCCGGGAGCCCTCAAGGGCAGGAGGCGACCTGGCAATCAGGGGAAGGTGATGCCCCCATCACACCTTTGCTGCTGCCACTGCTGGCAGCGCAAGCCACGGCCGGCCCTGGTTACCTGAGCCTCGGGTGGCCCTGGACGGCAGGGCATCCTCCATCTGAGGCTTGCCTGCTCCTCAGACCGGCACTGCGCAGCTGAGGGGCCTGAGGGATTCTGGAGGTAGGCGCCCTGGTGGGGTTGAGGGGACTGAGAGCTGCCATCTTTGAGGGCATGGCAGTCAATTAGCATATTCCCTCCTTATTGGCTGTGGGCACCACAATCTTTGAGGGCATGGAAGTCAAATAACATATTCTCTCCTTATTGGCTGTGAGTGCTGCCATCTTTGAGGGCAGGGCAGTCAATTAGCATATTCCCTCCTTATTGGCTGTGGGCACTGCCATCTTTTGTGACAGTGTGAGGGTTAATTAGCATATTCCCTCTTTATTAGATAGGATTATTTTATTCCCATCATACACCTTTTCATGCACAGGCCAGCTGGAGTCATACATTCCACCTTCAAACTCCCTCTGGCAGACCAGTCTCAGTTTTTCTTTGTTTTGCAAGCTAGTCCTGGAGCGCAGGTGCAACAGGCAGATCAACAATGATGACAGATGTTTCTATGGCAGTCATCAGTTTTCCATTTACCACAATGCTCCAGGGTGAGCTGGGTCTATCCCTTCTTTCCTCCAGCTGCCAGAAAGGCCATGCTGCTAAAAATGTCCTCCATTTAAATGCCCAAGGCATGAGGAAAATGGAGAAGCCATAATAAGAAAGGATGGAGGAGCAGGTGGCAGGTAGACTAAAATGGATAAACATAGAAAACATCTTCTCAGCATGCAGTGGTTATTTAATATAAATATGTTTTCAGTCATGGTACTCTTACTTTACTTTACAAATGCAATGCAATAAACATTATAACTGTGTGTAATCACAGATTTACTTAATAGTATAACTGCTTCTAATAAATAGAATGTAGATCTCCTCTTTGAACTCTATAACAAAGGACAGCAATGTCAAAATTCCCTAAAACCCATAGTAGAAGTATCTGTTTAGAATCTGCAAAAGATATAAACATAAGGAATCCCTGATTCTTATAGATTTTCCTGGAATCTCTTGCTGAAGTGGGAGAGGGAGAGCTGGGAGGGTTTGTAGACTCAATGTTCTCCAAGGAACAAGCCCAGAAGTGAATTCAGCCCTAGCCAGTTTGGCTCAGTGGATAGAGCGTAGGCCTGCGGACTGAAGGGTCCCGGGTTCCATTCCGATCAAGGGCACATGCTCGGGTTGTGGGCTCGATCCCCAGTAGGGGACATGCAGGAGGCAGCTGATCAATAATTCTTTCCCATCATTGATGTTTCTATCTCTCTCTCCCTCTCCCTTCCTCTCAGAAATCAATAAAAATATATTTAAAATAAATAAAAGAATGAAATCACATCTGGAACTGGCTCAGGCCCAGGTCTATATATGGACAACTGAATAAGTGATGTTTATACTTCCAGAAACCAGCATATATATATATATATATATTTAATTTAAATTCTTCATTGCTTAAAGTATTACATATGTCTCTTTTTTCCCCTATGGACCTCTCCCCAGCTGCTCCCACCCCCACAGCACATGCCCTCACACCTTTACTGTCTGTGTCCATTGGTTATGCTTATATGCATGCATACAAGTCCTTTGGTTGATCTCTTAACCACCCCCCAACCAACCCTCCCCTGACTTCCCTCTAAGGTTGGACGGTCTGTTCGATGCTTCTCTGTTTCTGGATCTATTTTTGTTCATCAGTTTATGTTGTTCATTATATCCACAAATGGGTGAGATCATGTGATATTTATCTTTCTCTGACTGGCTTATTTCACTCAGCATAATGCTCTCCAGGTTCATCCATGCTGTTGCAAAGGTTAAGAGTCTTTTTTTTTTTTTTTTTTTAACAGCAGCGTAGGATTCCATTGTGTAGATGTACCACCATTTCTTAATCCACTCATCTGCTGATGGGCACTTAGGCTGTTTCCAAATCTCAGCTATTGTAAATTGTGCTGCTATGAACATAGGGGTGCATATATCCTTTCTGATTGGTGTCAGGCAATATATTTTGAACACATAAAATAGGAGGGAAAAACCCTTGTAAGAATGTTTACTAACTGAATGTCCTCCTAAAGAAAAGATTCTATAAAAACTTAACAACAGTGGCTTACTGGGAACTTCCAGTTACACAACAAAAATTCTATCACAGATAATATTATAATAGTAACTAGTAATACAGAGACAAGGACTGGACAAAACAATCACCTGTTTGACAATGAAGACAATTCATATGGCTAATCCCCACACTCTGACTGTGGAATAGCCACTGAGGTAGCAACGAATTAACTCCGCAAACAAAAATAACTTACAGAGTTGGCTCACTGGGATAATTAAGCAATAATAATTCACTTTCTCTATTGACTTTAAACATTTTCTGAGTTTTTACTGCCTTTAATATCATGATACTACTATTTTATTTATAATCTAATTCTTGAATTTTTTACCAGATTCCATGAAACACCAAACAGAAGTTAGTGCTTTGTGACCAGTGAGAGTTATTGGAAGGAGACCCTTGTTTTTCTATCTCCACAGATGAAGAGAGGGAGAGCACAACATTTAAGGTCCAATAGCTGGCTCCTTCCTGCCTCCAGGTGCAGAGTGGGAAAATTCTCCAGGGCTTTTAGCTACCCTTCCTGTGCTCTGCACTCTAGGAAAGGATCCTAAATAACAGAAAAGCAAGAGCAGGATCCTCTATTCCAGATAGATCTACAGAAATCAGTGAGTTTTCCTGTGGAATAAAAATCTTCACAACAAAATTTCAGAATGAATTAGCAACCCCATCATATCCTAATGGTACTGTGTTTGCATAAAATAACAAAATGCACTTTATATTCTTCTCTTACCTGTCTACTCTCTCTTTGGGAGGATGTTGAAGAGGAGGCACTTCTATGGGTTGGAGTAGATGTTTTATGAGCTGGAGATATGCCCTTCTCATCTGAACTCATAGCTGCGGTTGGAGTCTAGTCGCGTGCACTTAAGGTCATCCCAATTGTGTCTCAAATTCAGACAAAGAAGTAGGTGAATTTTTAGCTTCAGTCCATTTCACGAATCAGGTTGGACTAGGAAAGAGAAGGTAAATATTGAGGGTGTCCAAAGCATCTGAAAGCAAAACAAACAAATTATAACTCATGTAAATTTATATTTAGGAAAAATACTAAAATGTCAGTGAGAGGAAGAATTCTGACACATTAGGAAATATTTCTTCCTCTAGATTTTTAAGGTGGAGACTAAAAGTGCTAATATGTAACAAAAGTCTGTCCAAAAGGAAAGGGGGAAGAAACTATATGCTAAAGTCACACTTTTCTCTTGTAGTCTTTGCTTTATTGATTTATTTATTGATTTATTTATTTATTTAAAATATATTTTTATTGATTTCAGACAGGAACAGGGAAGGAGAGAGAGAAACATCAATGGTGAGAGAGAATTATCGATTAGCCACCTCCTGCACATGGGAATCTAACCCACAACCTGGACATATGCCCTGACAGGGAATTGAACCATGACTTCCTGATTCATAGGTCAATGCTCAATCACTGGGCCATGAAAGCCGGGCTGTAATCTCTTTGTTTTAAAGCAGAGCTATGCTCTGGGCCCTCATGTCCAAGTACTTCAGTTTTTTCCCCTCTGAAATTTAATTTCCCCTGCCCAATGGATTATAATAAGAGCTCATTCCATGCTTGTGTCCAGTTCAGTTATTTCATGTATGTGATGATTAAATCCAACATAAGACAGTCAGTCACAAAAGGCAAAAGGGCTCCTGTTTTTTGTGTATCATGTGATCCAGCCATTAGAGAGGATGAAGTAATACATATATCCACGGTTATTTGTGCCTCAAGTCTACAGCACACCTATATATGACTTTCTCAACACAACAATCAACAGGATTGAAAGCATCCACAGGTTGACAGGCAGGTCCCAGAACTGGGGTAGTGCTAAGAGTTGCTTCTGTGTCACCAATCTGTGACTCAAAACATTGGCCACTAAAATGAACTTCATCCTCTTCTAAGAAGATGAAAGGCCAAGTTCTAGCCCCCATCTTAATGCTTATACTCCTTGAAAGTACTCGCCCAAGTCTTTTGGAGCCAACAGAAATGCAAAGAGCTGCAGAGCTCTGCCCTAGTTTTGGAGCTAATAGAAATGCAAAGAGCTTATTCGTGGCTCAGGATAAGTTTCATTTGGTATTGGCAAAAGGCAGTCATAAATTGACACTTAAATAATCATCTAATCCTTTTTTGAATGAAAGCAGTCTAATAAGTGTGACTAAAATTTCTCAAGCCAAGCTCTGCTGCCAGCAACCAGAAAGCAAGAACACTGCTCAGATCCTTAATTTTAAGAACTTCACTTTCTGGTCCAAGATGTTTTACAAGTAAACGCTGACACTTGAGCTGAAAGTATGGAGGTTCTGTGATGTGCTCAAGTGCCCCCAAGGGATGAGGTTGAGACAACCAAACTCATTAAATTGTTATCCATTTGGAAGTAAATTCAATCTAAGCTACATCAAGGGCCAACATTTCCTCTGTGGCACTGTTGTTTTTTCTTAACCACATCCGACTTCACTTTCTGATTAACAATAATGCTAACATCTTGGTTTTTGTTTTAACTAAAAATGACATTTTCAGGGTAAGTTGTCTATGATGAAAGAGCAACATTTTGGTTGAATCATAGGTATGAATATCTATAATAATATCAAGAATGAAGAAAAGGTGAAAGAATTTAATCCATTCCAAGAATCGTTTTTGAGATTGTTGTTTTTTCTATTAATTTTTATTTTTAAAAAAAGATTCCAAGTATCTAATAAAAGGTTGAATGGGATCAAAATGCATTACAAGGGGAAGTATGAACTCTGTTATCAGGTTGCATCTACTTATTCTTTATTCTTAGAGTGTAAGAATGTCTGTGACATTTTAAAAAATACTTATTTCATCTCTATCAAAGCACATTTTCAGGAATTGCCTATTCTACACCAAAAAGAGACCATAGATTTAAAGTCAACACCAACATAATTTTTATACTTAGTGAGAAAAGTATTGTAGCTGGAAATAACATCATTATGAAAGATGAATATCTAATTTTTCTGTCTCATCACTCCTTCTTATCAATGGGATCATTATAATGGTTTCTAGGTAGTGTACCATTTGCATTTACACTGAGTAACATAAAATTCTGATTTAGGGCCCTGGCCAGTGTGGCTCAGTTGGTTGGAACATTGTCCCATTTATTGAAGGGTTGTAGGCTCGATTACCACTTAGGCACATACTTAGGTTGCAGTTTCAGTCCCAGGTCGGGGCACATATGGAAGGCAACAAGTTGATGTTCTCTCTCACATTGATGTTTCTCTCTCTCTCTCTTCCCCTCTTTTTCTAAAAATCAATAAGTATACCCTCAGATGAGGATTAAAAAAATTCAGATTTATGACCCAGGGACCTAACTAAATCAAAGGGTGGCAGAAAAGACTTCTAGAACTTGCTCTTCACAGGCACCATAACTTGTATGTGTTCAGAAACACATTTGAGACTGGGGACTATTTAGCCTGAGCTAAGTTGTGATGTGGTAGCACAACTGCAAAATCTCAAGTCTTTACAAGAAAGGTTATTTCTTACTCATTTACAATCCTTTATAGGTCAGCTGCAGCCATGCTCTGTATCCTCTTCATCCAGGCTGAAGGAGCAACCCCCACGTGAAGGGGGAAGGAGCCATGGCAGAACCATGAGATAGTTCTGAATGCCTTTGCTTGCAGTGGCACATGTTACTTTCACTCACATTTTATTGGCCAAAGCAAGTCATGTGGCCAAACTGAGGTCAATGATGCATAAAAGTATAATCCCTCCAAAGGGAGAGGCAGTGAATAGTAGTGAACAAAAATATAATCTACTCCCCTAACCGGTTTGGCTCAGTGGATAGAGCATCGGCCTGCGGACTGAAGGGTCCCAGGTTCGATTCCAGTCAAGGGCATGTACCTGGGTTGCGGGCATATCCCTAGTAGGGGGTGTGCAGGAGGCAGCTGATCGATGTTTCTCTCTCATCGATGTTTCTAACTCTCTATCCTTCTCCCTTCCTCTCTGTAAAAAATCAATAAAATATATTTAAAATATATACATATATATATATATATATATATATATATATATATATATATATAGTCTACTATATTTACCATAGAAAGATTAAAAGTATGGATGAAAATATTTAAATTGACTCGTTTTATCACATAGTAATAACAATGGTTAACATTTTGATTCTGCTATAACCAAAGTAGGAGAATAATGTGCATATTACCTATAATAACCTCCCTGATGGGCCCTGCTCTGTGCGTGACAGGGGGCAGCGCCCCAACCCCCTGATTGGCCCTGCTCTGTGCATGACAGGGGGTGGCGCCGCAACCTCCCCATCGACCCTGCCTTGAGTGTGACAGGGGGCGGTGCCCCAACCCCCCAATCGGCCCTACCCTGAGCGTGACTGAGGGTGGCATCGCAACCTTCCGATCCACCCTGCTCTGTGCATGACAGGGGGCGGCGCCCCAACTCCCCAATCGGCCCTGCTCTGAGCCCGACCAGGGGCTGCACCTAGGGATTGGGCCTGCCCTCTGCCACCCAGGAGCAGGCCTAAACCAGCAGGTCGTTATCTTCCGAGGGGCCCCAGACTGCGAGAGGGCACAGGCCGGGCTGAGGGACCCTCCCTCCCTCCCCCCCCCCCCGAGTGCACAAATTTTTGTGCACCGGGCCTCCAGTATATAATAAAACCCTAATATGCAAATCGACCAAACCGCTGAACGACTAGTCACTATGATGCGCACTGACCACCAGGGGGCAGACCCTCAATGCAGGAGCTACCCTCTGGTGGTCTTGCTTTCCCACAGGGGGAGCACTGATCAACCAGAAGCCAGGCTTACAGCTGGCGAGTGCAGCGGTGGTGGCAGGAGCCTCTCCCTAAGCTGGCAGTTGGACATCCCCTGAGGGGTCCTGGACTTTGAGAGGGTGCAGGCTGGGCTGAGGGATAACTCCCCCGCCTCACCCAGGGCATGAATGTTGTGCACCAGGCCTCTAGTGAATGCATAAATAAGTGGAACTACAAATCAATGTTTCCCTCTCTCTTCCTATCTTTCTCTATAAATGAATAAATGCTTTAAAAAATGGTAAATTTTATGTATATTTTACAACAAGAAAGTTCCTGTATTATCAACTATTATAACTTTTATAACATGCAGGCATCAATATTATGCTACTTTGTGCTTAGGTTTCATCTTCTTTAAAAAATCTTCCCTATTCTATTAGACAGAATTGTCACTTTAATATGTATTACTTCTATACTTATGCATACATATATTATTGAATAAGCACTATACTATGCTTTTTTGTATTGATTCTGTATAATTTTTGAAGGTGGGGACTCTATCACTTTCATTACTGTAGTCTAATGACATGGGCCACAAAAACCACTCATATTGTTTACTGGGCTTATCATTTTAGTTAAGACTTGAGTTTTCTGTCATATCCATCAAGAACAGATGATTGTGCTAACAAGCTTCCTGTGGATAACCACCCTCATGTCAGTTCTTTGGTTTTACTATATTTTCTCAAAGACAACCCAAAATAACCCAAATGATTTGCAGACTGGAGTTCCCTATCTGTTCAGTAGCCAGCTGAAGATAAAGACTGTACAAAGTTCAACATTCCCAAAAGAAAACCTCTTAGTTGTCCTCAAATAAAGACACACACACACCCATCCCCAGGCTGCTAATGGTACTCTAGAGGCCTGGGCCATTATTAGGTTCTGTTCTCCTGGTGCCAAGTCGTACATTAGGATTAGGAATAGAGGCAGCAGGCAGCAGCATCATTCTTTCAAAACACCACTAATGGGCTAGCCTGGTTGCACAGAATTACTGCACCTGCCACCTACCTAATTTGCTAGCCATTATCCACCTAATCACAGATATTTCATGGTCAGGAACCTTAAGCAGAATTTTTTTAAAATGTCATCCCTCCAGAATGGCAATGTTTATGCAGACCTTTACATATCAGGGTGCCCAGAATTCAACTTGCTTTAGGCATCCACAATAAGTATTGGTTTCAATTATGCTCATTCATTGTCACAGGAGGAAG